TTAGCCAGTCCTGCATAATAGGCTGAATCTTGCCTCCTGAGGCTAGTTGATATTGGCCTCCCAGGAGAGTCTTTTCAAGTCTGGCCAGCCCGTACTCGTCAGCACAGATCCTCAGGTGTGGCTGGAAGTCCCAGACTGTTGTTGTTAGGTGCTGTCAAGTCAGTTCCGACTCATCGTGGCCCTATAGGATAGAGTAGAACTGCCCCATAGGGTTTCCAAGGAGCGGGTGGTGGATTTGAACTGCTGAGGTCTTAACCACTATGCCACCAGAAGTCCCAGGCTAAGGTGCCCCAATTGCTCCAAGGTTTATTTCTCCAGAGCCAAGGACAAAGGCCACCTTACTTAGGGTAAAACTAGGTCCTTTACGCCGCAGTAGGTAGATAAACGCCTCTTGGCCTCAGTTTCAATTCTGTCAAATGAAGAAGTTAGACCAGATAATCTTTGAGGTCTATCCCAGTTCTCTGGTTTTAATAAAAATCTCTAAACAACAGAGCTCTATAACAGTTTATTGCTTCTATTTAAAGCCACCTTTGGGCATTTTCACATTTTTAGCCCTGTCTGCTTTATTCTATACCCGACTGCTAAAATCTAGTCTTTCCCAGAATATGACTTATGCCTGTTTGCATTGGAATCACTTGGGGCATGGTTAAAATGCAGATTCCTGGGTCCTAGCCCAGACTTCCTGAATAGAAAACTCTGGAGATGAGTCCTAGAAATCTACATCTTTAACCTCTGTGTTAGAGTTGTAGGTGTTAATACTTTCTTGCTACTTTCCAAATACAAAGGTGTCTCAACTGGTTCTCTTCTCTAATTACTTTCTCTTGTTTTTTTAAGGCCACACATTTCCTTGCTGCTTAGAAAAGTGGAGGCATGAGGAAGAATGGAGGACATTAGGAAAGGGAGCTAATTTGGAGAGGGTTGTGGTAATAGCAGGTGATTCAAATTCAGTTGTCCAGGAGACATTTGGGACTGTGGGACTGAGGTGTACAGTAGAGGACAGGGTTGAGCTATGGATTTGGGAGTACCTGATGTAGGATTAGGAGTTGGTCACCTTAGAGCACTGAGGGTATAAAGGAAAAAGAATGAGGCACATTTTTAAGTGTAAGAAGGTGTTACTGATCCCGAAAGGTGGGTTGTTGTCTGGCGCTCTGAGACTTGCCAATTATCTGGACACAGGTCTTTGAGAAAGAGAAAGTAACTTTATTGCAATGTGCAGAGCAAGGAGCTGGGAGGAGGTTCCTCAGACCCAGTTCCCCAAGCTACGGGGAAGTGGGGCTTATACGTGATTTGGGCAACAAGATGGCAGTGGGGCAGGTGTTCTGGGAAGGGAAAAGTCTAGAAGGTGGCCAGGAAACAGGAGGTGACTGGTTCTTGCTGGACATCTCGCTTTGAAATAGGGTCCGGCTGATGATTTTCCTTCTGATTCGTTCCTCTTGTTGCTGCGTCCTCTGTTGAGGTCAATTAGCAGTCACAGCTGGCCCTACTACGCATGCATGTGGGGCATGCCAATCTGATCTGGGCTAGTTTAAGGCCTAATGGAAATTTACTGGCATTAGCAGGGTCAGGTTACAAAGGTGTATCTGAATAGGGCTGCAGAGTCGTCCCAGGAGGTGGATGAGCTCCTGAGGAGCACATGGGGAGTGTGTGGAGAGAGCTGCACAGAACACTTAAGAGTTTGACTTTGAGGACTGCTCAGAGTTAGAGAGTGGGAGGGAAGGAGGAGCCAATGAAACATCTAAGGAGAGCTTGAGCAGGCAGGAGGAGAGCCAGGACAGCTTGAAGTGAGGAGACTCAGAGAAAAGAGAGTGGAAATGGTCAACAGAGCCAAACACCTGGAGGCCGTGGGGAAGAGGAAGACCAAAGGAAGGCTGATCAGTCTGTCTCCAGAAGACTCTTGGGCTTGGAATGGGCATTCAGTGTCTTTCAGGGTGTCGTGACAGACAGACTATATGTGATTTAAGAGGGCAATGGGAAGAGAGGCAGAGGAGGGGAGGACAGTGAGGCCTGTAATTAGAGTAACAGTTGGCACTTTTGCCAGGTTGGGGAACCACTGGGCCACTTTAATGGTGGGCTTGTCTGGGTTGCAGGGCTGGTGGGCATGGAGGAGAGTATTTGCCCTTGATGCTTGCCTAGTGCTTACACGGTAGTGCCTGTGAAGTTGCCAGCTTGGGAAAGGAAGTAATGTGGGTGCGATGGGGGAAGATGGTTGGTAAAGGCACAAACATTCTAGGCCAGTTGGCAAACACTGGGGGCAGCAAGCTGGAGGCAAACAGATGCCAGTATTTAGAACAAGATGTTTGTAAATTTGGGGCAAGAAGGCCCTTCTCTCAGCCCACTTCCAGGAAGAATTAGTGGTATGGGTTGAATTTTGTCCCCCCCAAATTATGTATTGTGAATCCTAACCTCTGTGCCTGTTGGGGGAGCCCTGATGGCACAGTGGTTAAGATCGCGGCTGCTAACCAAAAGGTTGGCAGTTCGAATCTGCCAGCTGCTTCTTGGAAACCCTATGGGCCAGTTCTACTCTGTCCTGTAGGGTAGAGTCGATACTGACTTGGTAACAATGTTTTTTTTTTAATGCCTGTGGTTATAATCCCATTTGGGAATGGGTTGTCTTTGTTATGTTAATGAGACAGGATTAATGTAGGGTGTGTTTTGAGTCAATCTCTTTTGAGATATAAAAGAGATTAAACAAGCAAGCGAGAAGTGAGAAGCAGAGATGGGGGACAAGAGATGCCAAGCCACCTGCAGATCTCCCAGGAGAAGCTCAAAGAGACAAGGACCTTCCTCGAGCCGATAGAGAGAGAAAGCCTTCTCCTAGAGCTGGTGCCCTGAATTCGGACTTCTAGCCTCCTAAACTGTGAGAAAATAAATTTGTTACAGCCACCCGTATATGGTATTTCTGTTATAGCAGCACTAGATAACTAAGACAATGGGTAATTTTCTTCCTAGCTTGAACTTTGTCAGTTACTTAATATAATTCAAATGCACTGTAGCTGTATCTGGCAGAGAGTCAACTTTTCTAGGGAGCTCGGACCATGGACACCGTCAGGTCAATTCAACAAGCACTTTTGGAGGATGTACCACATGTAAAGCACCCACTTTGGTGTTGTGAGAATCGAAAAAGACTGGGATAACCCATCAGGGGTCATGGCATAAAATAATTGGACACATACAACTCTAATAAAAAACAAAACCAAAAATGTTGCCGTCAAATCGATTCTGATTCATAGCAAGCCTATAGAACAGAGTAGAACTGCCCCACAGAGTTTCCAAGGAACAGTTGTTGGATTTGAACTGTTGACCTTTTGGTTAGCAGCTACACTCTTAACCACTGCACCGCCAGGACTCTAGTAAGAGACAGGCATATTCTCTATAACAGAGACACAGTTCTCTGGATGTGTAGTGTTTTCTGGTTACTTCAGCTATTAAGTGAGCTTCTGAGAAGCAATTGAGGATTTTTAAAAAAGTAAAGAAAAATACACTCTAGTGCTTTTAGCAGACACAGAAGATAGTTTTGGAAGAAGTACTAGAATACAGTTCATTTTGACCAACGCTTGTTAGATGACTGATGTATGGTAGGCCCAGTGTTAAGGGTTGAGAGTACAGGGATAAATAAAACATAGTTTTGGTCTGAAGGAGCTGAATCTAGCGGGGGAGACAACTAAGGAAACAGATAATTATGGCTCATCCTGACGCATCCTGCAATTGGGTCATCACTGCAAGCTAAGGAAGCATTGATGAGGGGGACAGAACTCAGGAGATAATTTTGATTAAGCCTTAGAGAACAAGTAGGAGTTTAAACTGCTGAGAGATGGTGAGAGGTTACTTCTTCTTCTTCTTTTTTTTTTTTTTAATAAATAAATGAGATGATGTGCTTCTTCTCTGGCAGCACTTCAGAGGCAGGATGTGTGATTTTGGTATTTAGAGGTATGTGAGGGACTTTCGGCTCCTGAGTTGTAGACATGGAAAACTTAGTGAAGCCGCCTTCTGCTTTTTTCTTCGTCCTCTTTCTCCTTCATCAGAGAGGTCAGAAGCAGGAAGAAAAGCAATAGTAGTGATGACCCATTGCCTTTGTCCACCTCCCATTGCACACACTGCCTGTCCAGGGAGAAATTTAAAGATTTTTGAGAAGTGCCCAAAGACACCTGATCGGTGCATGAACTGATTAGCTGAACACTGAGGAAGAGAATGTGGTGTGTATATTAGGACTGCCTTTTGGTTTGAGGTCTAGAATCTCAAAGGTGGCTCTCTGTATCTAGGAATGACCTAGCCTTGCTGTATTGTGGATTGTGGGGAGGCAGACACATAAAATGTTCTGTGGTCTGTTCTTCGCTTCTTCCTTTCTGTCTGATACCACCTGAGTTACAAACACGCTGTTTCCAGAACAAGAGTGCCCAAGGCAAAGATGTGGAGCAAATTTTGACAAATTCTTCCCCTCTTGGCAATGCTACTTACCCCAGGGAGACCCCTGCCCTGCTCTTCAGGAGCTTCCTATTCTAAGTCCTTTCATCCTTTCCCCGTTCCTTGAGTTGCTTGCCATGGACATAAACCGAGCTCTCATACTTTGGACATGTTATCAGGAGGGAGAATGACATCATGCTCTGTAAAGTAGAGGGCCAGTGAAAAATAGGAAGACTTTCAACAAGATGGATTGACACAGTGGCTACAACAGTGGGCTTGAGCATAGCAATGATTGTGAGGATGGCACAGGACCAGGCAGTGTTTCATTCCGTTGTACACAGGCTTGCTATGAGTCAGAACCAACTCAACGGCACCTAACAACAACATGTGTGTGTCCCTCACATGGTCATGGCTGCAGTGGGGCAGTGATTAAATTGGGGAGGTGAGTCTTGTCCACTCAGAAAAGGCTTGTTTTCCCTAGACATATGAGAACTGAGTAGAAGGAGAACTGGAATAACAGAGAAGGTTTTTCATTTCTAAGGACTATTTAAGCGGGAAAAGCACAGCAAGAAGCGTATAGCATGGCGGTGATGGGGGTGATGCTTCAGCAACATATTAACTAGAACTGGAATAACTCAAAAAAGACTAACCTGGCCCTGTGCAAGGAAGACATGCAAATTCATGAAGGGTTCCATATTTTGGAGGGACAGTTGGGGAAATTTCAATATAGACTGGTTATTATATGATATTAAGGAATTATTATTAATTTTATAAGATGTGATAATGGTATGATGGATAAGAAAATGTCCTCATTTTTAAGAGTCTCATATTTATGGGTGAAATGTCCTGATGTCTATAATTCACTTTGAAATAATTCAGCAAAAATTGTTAAATCTAGGTTATGGGTATATGAGGACTATGGTAGATATATACTATTCATTCTACTTTCTGTATGATTAAAACATTTCATAGTAAAACATTTTAAAAGAGAAAAAAAGTGCAGGCTCTGGAGCCAGACTGCCTGGGCCTAAATCCTGGCATGGGTCTTACCCTTTTTGTGCCATTTTTAATGGGGATGATGAAGGTACCTACCACGTAGGGTTGGGTGCAGATTGAATTGTTTAACATAAAATGCTTACAACAGTGTCTGGTACGTAAATACTGGATAGCTGTTTTATTGTCACTACTATTATTATTAAAAAGGAGCACTGGTGGCGCAATGGTTAAACACCCCACTGCTAACTGAAAGGTTGGCGGTTCAAGCCCACCAGCCGCTCAGTGGGAGAAAAGACATGGAGATCTACTCCCATCAGGATTACAGTCTAGGAAACCCTTTGGGGCAGTTCTACTCTGTCACATAGGGTTGCTATGAGTTGGAATTGACTCAATGACACACAACAATGACAGCATTATTGTTTAAAAGAAAACATCTCAAGAAGTTGAGATGATACACTTAGACTGGGACAGAGAGAACACAACATCTCCAGAAGCCAGACAAGGCATCCAAGCTGGGCCACTTTCAAGTCTGTGCTGGAAGCAGCAGTGGAGTTGGGATTGCTGAGGATCCAGGATCCCTGATGACACCCTCTTCCCAGGAAGGATGGCTTGGGTGTTGTCAGAGAGAATAGAAGACATTGCTCTGAGGGGCGGCAAGGTTGTCTCCCAGAAGAAAATGTTGAGTCACCGGGTTGGGTGGTAAAGCATACTAGATAATGACATGAACGTTGTGTTGCTCATCCAGAGCTGATTTTCTTAGTCATTGTGGTGCCTTTTTTCTTCCCCCAAGTGGAACAGATGATGTTGCAGGTCTGGATGAAGAGGACTATAGGAAAAGAGAGAGCTCAGCTTCTGTCTGGGAATGCAACTGCACCAGAGAAAGTCCTGAATGTGCTGAGTTGCATAGGTGCAGAGACTTCCAGGGTTCAGAGATGGGACTAGGGGAAAAGTGGGTTTGATAGGTAGACCAGTCAGGGTTCCAGCAGGACACAGATGGCACAGCCATGTTGGGTAATCTGAGTAAGGTTTGATAAGAGGAATCTTTACAAAGGTGTGGGTCCTCGGTTTGAACCACCCAGTGGCGCCGCAGAAGGAACAGTTGTCGTCAAGTTGATTCTGACTCATGGAGACACCATGTTGTGTCAGAGTAGATCTGTGCTCCATAGGATTTTTCATTGGTTATGATCTTTCGGAAGTAGACTGCCAGGGCTTCCTTCTGAGACACCTTGGGGTAGACTTGAACCTCCAACCTTTCAGTTAGCAGCCAAGTGTTTTAACCATTTGGACCACCCAGGGACGCCACCTCATTCTTACAGATAAGAAAACAGAGTTCCAGAGAGGCAGTGTGGTTAGTCCCCAGCTTCTTAGTGACAGAGCCAGAAAGAGGACATTCATGTCCTGGCTCTCAGATAAATGATCTTTCCTTGGGGCCCTAATCTTACCTGACCTCAAACGTGGCACCTTTCCTCTCTTTCTCCATCCCCTGACCTTAACTCTTCCCCCCCTACTTCATCCTACCTCACCCCAGTTGTGATGGGAAATTACTTTGATGCAATGGTGGCCTTTAAGTATGATTTACACGTACTTGGCACCCTAACCACAGGTCATGGAACAGAAAGCTCAGAGCCAAATTAGGATGCTCAGATCATATGGTTTATTGATTCAGTGTAAAACATACAGCAAAAAACAAAGAAGAAAGTGATGGGATAGGTTTATACACTTAGGATAAGGTACAAGTGGGTGGAAGAACTACATACTTTATGTTACGCAAGGGTTATTACACTATGCTGTCTGTCTCTCTGCTGTGTCAGTCTTCCCTGCTGATGATGTGGTTATGAGAACAGAATTGAGACTGAGCAAGAGGGCACAGCAGGCAGAAGGTGGCTGTGACCAACACATGGTTTTTTGGAGAGACGCTGGGGGCAAGTAAGCCTGGCCAACTGCAGTAGCTCACCAGCTAACCTGGTGAACAGCTATGGATTTACGTGCATGGTGCAGACAGAAGGCTTGTGGGGCCTGAATGGGTGTCACCAATGAGCGTTTGATGTATGACATAAATATTAGGTGTCTACTTGGTCCTTTTTCCCCTTCCTAGCTTCTCTTCAGCCCATGTATGCTCTGCTTATTTTGACTGTGTCTAATATGTCTCACGAGCTACTTGCTTACTTACTGTCTGTACTTGGTGTCATCCATCCCCCTCATTTTGTTTGTTTCTCTTGTTTTCTGTAGAGGAGACTTTAATATAGTAGACATTAAATTTTAATAACAGAGCAAACACACATTATATCCCTTGTGTATTCAGGCTGAGTTTATATTTTGTATTTATGTACCTCAATTTCTAGACTTTGGCGATAAAAAGCAACTAAGGCCACTTGTTTTCCTTCCAAAGAAAAAGGGAACCAGAGAGCCCTCAAGTGACTTTTTGTCCCACTAGAACTACCTTCATTTGCCCATCTTCATGAGCCTGAATAATTGGATCATTGCATTATCTCCACTTGACTATGAGATGTGAAGACAGAGCTTAAGAGGCTCCTAACATAATATCCTACCTACCCACCTGCCTTCTGATGTACCTACCGCATGTACCTTCTCAGGGTCTGTGCTGTTGGCTCAGTTGGTTAGCGAGTGGCCTCAAGAAGACCCAACTGTGAGTCTGATCCCTGTAAAGTCCAGCTAGTGTCGCACACAAGGAAACTTGACTTCTTTTCCCCAGCTAGGGCCTCCTTTAACCTTGAAAATCCCTTCACCGTGGAGGGCAGGATGAGAAAGGTTGGGTAACTCAACCATATCCCAGTTCTGGAATCTATTAGAGGTGGCGGTTAGGGGCATGGACTTCCTTCATGAAGGGGACTACACATTTCCATGTGTGGAACTAAAGCATACTTTCACAGGCCCTTGTCAGCCTCCACCCAGTAACCTACCTTTCCACAGGTAGCAGCCCCAGTGACACAGTGACATGAAGATTCCAGACCACTTTGTGAAATTAAGACTAAAGCCAGCATGTTTGTCAACTCAATGATACCAATGACAGCCCCAGACTATACTTACATTCTGAGTCCTTGGGAGGCCCTTTTGCTATAGTGTGCTATAGTGAGAATTAACCTTTAGAGTTCATCTAGTGCATCCTTGACTCTGCTCAGCATACTCAATATTTGTATTTAGCCTGGAGACTCAGATATGAGGTACCTAGAGCAAAAACCCCTTCCCTGCCTGCCTCCATCACAAACTACCAGTTCACTTTTTACGGCAAGATCAGGTCTTCCCATCCCTGTCTACTGTCATATCTGGAGATGATAGAGAAGCCTGGTGAATATTATGTATTTATTGATGTAGACCCATTGTCCCAACAGTTGAATAATGCTTATTGACATGCATTTGGGACATATCATTTATACTAAAGGAAAAAAAATCATGGAGCTTGGAGAAATGGGAGAGGAGTGAAGAGGAGCCCACACTGATGATCTGAGGCGGGAGCAATGTGGCACTTTCCATTTGGTGCATGAGGAAGCAACATGATTTGTGATGTGGAAAGGGCCTCCAGGCCCTGAGCAGTCCCTTTGTTGGGACTGGAGACCTAAGCCATGAAGTGGGAGCCCTACTTCCTGCATTTGCCTTTCAGGACGCGGAAGGATGAATAATAACAATGACAATGATCATACCTAGTATTTATTGAGCACCTTCCATATGGTTGGCATAAGGCTGGGGATTTTCACAAATATCTCATTTAATCTTCAAAATAACTTCTGTAGTCCCATTTTAAGGTAAAGAGGCAGAGACTCAGAGAGGTAGAAACTTGCCTGTAATCACACAGCTATTTAAGTGGCAGAGCTAGGATTTGAACACGGATTGCCTATATGTGTAGTTGCATAGTCCATATTCTTTCTATTGCACCACCCTGGGGGAAAAATAAATTCATGGAGACATAATATAGGAGGAAGAGGAGAAATACTAAGGGAACATAATGAAAATGTCCAAGAGACTGGGGATGTCCCAGATGCTGAGTCTACATGTGTATCCCTTTACATAGTGCACAGCCCAGGGACAGCGCTGGAGAGAAGCTGCTCTCTTGTAGCAAACGATGGAGGATGCTTGAGGAAAAGCAGGATTAGCAGGCGTGTACGACAAAAATAGGAAATCAAACTAGAAAGGTAAATTGGTGGTAAAGTGAGAGAGTCCTTCATTGTGCAATGGAGAGCCTCTGAGTCTTTTTGAGCAAGGGAATGACATGATAGGGCTTCTTTGCTTTAGAAATTATTATTATTTTTTTAAGCAGTGTGTAGGGTGGATTGCAGTGTGGAATAGGGTAAGCGCTATGATGGGGCAGAAACCACATGCAGTTGAAGTTCAGCGAGGAGAGAGGTTAGCTTTATCTGAGGGGAGTTAGGGAATGGCTTATAGGAAAGGTGATATTTGGCCTAGGCCTGGAAAAATGAATTTGGGAATTTGGGGACTTGATGAGTGGCCAAGGTATCCCTGGAGGAGAGGCCAGAGCACCTCTCTCATGCTGTTGTGAAAATGGACTAGACCAGCAGGCATGTATTTAGATATCACCTTGCTTCAAAAAGGAATTAAAGCAGCTCATAGAAAATATGTACTACAACAAAATAAAATAGAATTTAAAATAAGTGGATGAAATAGGGGCAAAGGAAAATTAGGGTAGGAAAAATGAGATGAAGGTAGGACTGAGGTTAGTACAGTTTGATGG